CATAAAAATATTAAACTGATAACATTTTTAATTTCAAATCACTCATTATTTACCATTGGATATGATGAGAACACAACCAAAGGAATAAAACTCCATGCTTTATTTCTTATCAGGCTTATTCTGTTCCTTGATATTCTTTTCTTTTCTATAATTAAAAAATTATGTTCCTTCCTTAACCCTGGTACACGACTGAAGAAAAACTAATTCGTACACAGAAGAATATGGATGGTTTAATTTAGTGGTCATCATATGAAAGCAGATATGCTCTGCAGTGCCATTTTATGCGTGTGAAAGCAAGATTGCTGTAATGAACCAAATTCTTAAACAGTAATATTTCAATCACATCATAATTCATAAAGCTTCTCTTCTATATATCTAGATGTTCCTGGCATTTCAAAACCATTATTGGAGAAAGAGAATAAGCTAGGGAAGCAGTAAGGCAACAAATACGAGACAAATTTCCTTATTTCGTTTTTGATTTGGTTGTGCATTTCTAGAAACATAACTTGGAGAAAAATTATTGGTACTCATTCTTTGTTTTTTTAGTTAAAATAGAACTGATAAGATTCCCACAGCAATACTTGGCTTAGGTACAACAAAGATGAGTCTTAAATGGGTTTCCATTATTTGCTTAACAGACAAAAAAAGTTAAGAAGGAGTGACCACCCCAGGTTTACATTTCATTTTCTCCAGCTTGAGAAATACTAAAAAACAAAAATGAAAGGACATTAAATTTGAACAAGCAAAATAATGAAAGTGGGTGTACTTCGGTATTTTTAATTTGGTTTATAATTCTATATGTCTTGGAGAGAGAGTACTGTAGGAACCTCATAATAATAATATTATTATTATATTATGATGTATGCACATAGGCCCCGACATTTGGAAATAGGGGACAAGGATGATGAAATCTCCCATGATGCTTTCTTTTCGGATTTGAGTACAAGTTAGGAAAGTTTGTTTAGGGCATTTATTTATAATAAAGGGGGCAAGCATGTGGCCAGCCATGCTATTGAATGGTTCACATGCATTGGTAAAAAGTTGTCCTAATTCTTAACATATTTAGCCGAAAGCTTAATTTTCAATTGGGATCTAATTTTAGTAGGTTATGGTGTGTCATTTAGCCAGAGTGCTCTAGAATATGTTGAGTGATTACACTATATTTAGACCGGATACGAAATAAAGACAAAAATTAAATAAGAGGATGAGAAATGTAGAATATATATATTCTCGTTAAGTATATTTTGTTGTAGCAAAGTAATTTGATTTTTTTTAATAGAATATATTCTTCAATTTTTTTTAAACTCTTAATCTCTTTGTATCTAAATGGTGTTATAAGCTTAAAGAAATTATCTTTGGTTTTAAGTACGTATTCATCAACTTCAAAAGAATAGGTCTTTGTCAAAAAAGAAGTTCTTAAAATTATCTTTTCAAAGACGTTTTTTTTTTATCAAAATAAAATTATTTTTATAATAAATTCCATTATTGCAAATGCTAGCATTAGAAAGTTTATATCAAAATTTCATATATATATATATATATATATATATATATATATATTAATT